GAGGTATAATAAATGCAGCAGTAAAGCTGGTGTTACATATAGTACAAATCATGGCATGTTCTTTCTAATGGTATCGAAATGATTTTTTGGAACTGTTCTTTATAGATTGATAAGGAACTTAATTTCTGAGCATGTCACTAGCGTTGTGAACACTATCATTAGCGTTGTTACCATAACCATTATCATTCTCATAAATTCTATTGTTGAAGCAATATCCTTTATTATTATTTTCGAATCCTTATCATTATTACAAACTGTCCATCGATTGACAAATGAATGGAAGTTATAAATAAAACGATTAAAATCGATAAGAAAAACGATAATTTATAAATAAGACGATTACAAATAAAAATAAGCATCTATCTACCTTGCGATCCACCAGGAATATCAAAAAGTTTTAAACCAAGATAACATTTCTCTTCATGATGTATCACTGCACGCGATAAATGAACCACAGTTGAATCGTTGAAATGACCATTCGAGTAAGTTAATTGTCCCTCTTTTAACACTATGCTCTAAAGGCGCATAAATTAATGGATAAACAATGAATAAATGAATAATAGTAAGAAAAATTGCGTCGATAACGGATAAAAATCACTTCAAGATTACACTCACATATACGGTGAAGTCACTCTTTTCAATAAACATATGCCTTTCTTTATTAATAACGGAATTTCATCGAAAGATACCTCAAATTCAATATGAGATCCTTCTTACACACACAATTGAGTTGCTCTTGAATGAAGATGAGTTGGGATTAAAATTATGAAATACAGCCAAACAATATCAACATGAATGATCATAAATTTAAACCTGCAGATCAAATCGATTGGGTGAAATAAGCACTGAAAGTGCGTATGGTATTCTGCATTGCTTATTAATACTGCCAAAATTGTTTTTGTTTTTACCGCTGATTATATAGTTATTGTTGTAATCGTTTGTGTTGTGACAAATCATATATTTTGGAGTTAGTTTCATGTTGACATCCAAATATGAATGAGTCTGAAAATAAAAGAAAAACCAGTTATTCAGTGCTTAATTAATCGAAAGTAATCCACAAAAGTCAGAAAAATTTCGGCATTTTTCACTGTGTGAATAATAATGGTAAGAAATAAGCAGAGAACCTGATGAATCAGATGTGCTTCAGAAACGCTTAAAACTGAACTGCTTTCAAGCAAAAGAATCACTAAAAATATTGTTTCACTGCATAATGATAATATTGAGAGTAAGGATAACGCCATATCTGACTGAATCGATCGTTGAAAGATCCTACTCGAAACAATTGTATCACCTTCAATTGATTCATTCATTTATTCTTATTCGGCTACAAATGGTTCACTGACCAATTTTCACTTCTTTAATTCTGATCATACAAAAACGAACGCACGTACGTGTATAGCCAGCTTTAAACATAACTCATCAAAACGTAAGAAATAAGCGGATATTCAAATATAAATCAGATCACATCTGAATTCCGATGTGATCTGATTTATGGGGAAATGCCTGATCAATGAAGAAATAGTGAAGAAATATGAAGATGACGAAGATCAATCAAGGTCAAAATAATGAAGATCAAAGAAGAAATACCATTGTATTAAGCCTATAGGCATTATCGCCGATCTCTCAGTTCTTCATCTCAGTTTCGATTCGGCGTCTGTTGATTATGTTGATGATTCACTGATTTTATTACTTATTATTACTGATGTAGTGATTCCTATGAAAATTTTTAAATAACAGATGTATTATTTATTTCTTACTTTCGATTCATTGTTTTGTTGCTAATGCTGATTTTGATTGGGCGATGTAGATATCTGATTTACATACGCTGTTTCTTCGTTTCGTATTGTATTAAAGTCATTTTATTATAATAAACACGTTTTAAGCATGTCGCAGAGCCATTTTATATGCAAACTGTGCGTGAGATATATGAAAGACATGTCGCAGAAACAGTGGAGTGAGTACATAATTTACACACAAATGAGTGAAAACGCGCCTCACGATGCATTTCGCACACAACAAGCTTATTACTTTCACTCATTTTGACTGCGTCTCGCACGCATTTCGCAATGTCACGCGGCTCTATTACTACATAGCTATTTGTGTGTAAACTATTATATTTCGCCAAAATTTTCAGTGAAGACTTGTCGAACCGATCGAATGATTATCTCAAAATTTTGACAAAACAATACACCTGATCTTATTGAAATATTATGATCCAATTTACGTTCAATTGTTTCAAAGTTAAAGGTATACCTGGCAATGAAACAAAAGCGTTTAGATCAGTAGTGGATAATAGCGCGCAATTCACTATTCCGCTGCTGGCAGAACTGTTTTTTTCCGTAGGATGCCCATCACTGGTTTAGAGCATTGAGTAGTAGTATGACTGTTTATAAATTTTTATTATAATGGTTCAGAATGATGGAATCACCACTAAAAATTTATCAAAAGCAATTTAAAAAGATTGCACAGTGAAGAAGTTAACAACTTTTCATTCTGACGGTGTACTAAATTACGAGAAGAGAATTCCTCTCGGAAAATGCACAGAATAAAATCAGAAGGCATATATGGAAAACAGGTCGAGAAATAACGTTTGAACAAGCCAGTGCTAGTCGAAAGATGATCCGAGAAAGTTTGGAGTGATAATCAACCGACAAAAATTGTTTGGCATCGACAATGATGAATGCAAAATTATTAATTGTAAGTGAGAATGTGAAGTGCACATGGTTGATGCTGATTATTGGTGTTCGGTTTTCGAATGAGAGATGACTGAAAAGAAAACGAAAACAGGCTGATTATATTCGAAAAGAAAACGAAAATAAGCTGATTATATTCGACTTGTTTGGTGAGTTGATGACAGAAAGCAAAACTGCAAAGAACAAAACGTCTAGATACATGATGTTGTTGTTCGAGACAGGTAAATGATGCGATATTGAAGCGGTTGTAATGAAATCACATTAGCAATCTCCAACTATATTATTTTCGTTAAAATATAACTCAACTTTTCAGTTAGTTTATTAATATCTTATTTATTCTAAATGAATAGTGAAGATTTTTAAACATGATGATAAATTAATTATTGCTTGTTTCAACAAAATTCTGTACTGCCTTCGTAATATCTTGGAGTAATTTCATCACTACAGATTGTTTTTGATTTGTCATTGCTAGTGTTTAAAGAGTTCTTCATTATTTTTTAAATTCTTTTTCCACTCATCAATTTTTCTTTTTATTCTTCTTTCTCTTATCAATCTTATCAAAAAACATACTTATCGACCAAAACGGACATATTTTCTTATCAACTTATCATTTATGTGCATAAATATTTTATTGTTCCTTAACATGTTGTTAACTTTATCAGCTCACAGTCTCAAATGAAGAAATGTAAATGGTTGATATAAATGTAAATAGTTGTCATCTGTAAACACTTTTCAAGAGGATCAATTGCAAGCGACTCACTATCAGTGTAACGAATCAATAAGTACATGAAAAAATATCATGGATGAAATGAACTTGTAAGACAAATTGAACCAAACAAACCTTACCGCTATATTTTACTGTGTGCATTGCGCTCTTTCCACTGCTGCAATGAACGTCCTATGGACAGTACTCGGATACACATTCACTGCTCGGAAACGATTTGTCTCTTCAAAAGTGCCACTCATTGCCTAGAGCATGCCACACCGATCAGTGCATTATTTCAAGGAAGGTATGTAATGAAAGCGGGTAGAATAGAACGAACGAAAAAATAATGGGTTCATGTAAGAAAGCAGAACTGAAATCGAAACGTAAGAACATCTTTAGACTTGATCAAATTTTCAGTTATGCAGCAGCGATGCCAACTCGAAAGTCTCTAAAATTACGCTACAAGTTAGCATAATTTCGATGGTTGACTGAAAACGCATCGTTCTGATTAAGGCAACCAATTGCTACTTGAGCAAGTGCAGTACTGTAGCGAAATGTATTACATCGAATAATGAATAAATTATATTTATTGAGAGTTATTTATCACAAGAATTAAGCACACAAATATCATCGAAAATGCGCAGAAGGAATATACTTAGTTAGGAGTATTCACAAAATTAACGGAAACAACCATACATTAATAATGTTAATGAATACAATAATAAAATGCAATATCAATAAGTAGACGTAATACCAACAAACGAAAGAGATAACTTTTTACTATGGCAAGTAATGCGTTCTTCTGCGATTTGAATGCGCAAAAATATGTTCTATTTACATATATACTGGCGTGTTGAGCTCAGGTTCGGAACTGGAATGTGCTCGATGATCATTTGAGGGACAACGTTCCCCATTCAGTGAACCATCGCAACAATGATTCTCTTTATACTTCATATTTTTAGCCATATTCGATTATCTTATACACACATATCACTACAACAGTTCCACACTAAACAAGTGGATTTTACGATTAATGTTTGAAATAACAAATGATTTTGAGAGGCATTTGTCAAAAGTGCCTATCGTTTCACGTTTTAGAGCATCACACATAAATACTTTCTCTTAACTGATTCCAACCGATTATAACTCAAAATTCCACTTATTTGATTACAAATCGAGCACTAATGAATATGCACATGTTAATGGTTTATTGATGGCACTGTAAATGCAAACACACTCATATGATTCCAGTCGATTGGGTTGGTTCATTCCATTTTGTTGGTTCAAATAAATTGGAGGAACTTTTTGGCGATTAACTTCCACTTGCAATTTATGGAATGAATTTCGATTCAGTTAATTTTGGTGTATGCCCATCATTGACAATAAAAACAAAACTTGGTGATTGAGAAATTTGATTAAAGAATAGCAACGAAATGGAAAATTTAGAGCTGAAAATCACAAGAATTATCAGAAAGGAAAACAAATCGATTGTGAAATTAATGCAGCAGTTTGATCATTCGTTAACGCATCCAATCAAGTAGAAAATGAAAAGGTTGAAATATCATAGTGAACGCAGATAGAGGAATGAGACCGACTGAATATTAATTGAGAAGGTGATGTGTCAGCGCCGTATAAAATAAATCCAAATCGTGCACATTTTTCAGCTTCCATAATGGAATATTCTCCTGCAATTTCATACCATTCACATTCGTGAGCAACGGACGTTCATCGAAAATTTGTGATGTGACTTCGTAAAATAACAATAAATAAATATTGTTGCCACCAATAATAGATATTTCATCGCCATCAATAAAATAGTGATAACAATATCAATATCGAAAGTAATATCACCAAGAATAATCAAAACATTAATGTGATGTTGTTCGCAAAAGATTACTCGTGAATTATGCAATTACAGTTAGCAATATCGTAACACTGCTTACTGCGCACCTTATCCTTCGTAACATTAACATTTTGATTCGCATTACAAACGAAGAAAGTCTTCGTCGTAATAATAATCATAATGATAGTGATAGCAGTATCGATAATAATAACAGCAATAATAATACTAACTTTTTTGGCAATTTCATGTGTATCTGGTTGAGTGGATATGATAACAAATGAGCACTTTTTACCGAATCGACTCAAAATTCTTTCAATAACGGAATCTTTGCCCGTTTTTGCCGTGTTGTACACATTTTCAGCGGGAATCATCGCACTCTGTTCCATTATCAAAAGTTTCGCCAGTGTGCATATGATAGTTTCGTTTGTTAGTAGAATATTCGCGTAGTGTTCTCGAGAGGATCTATTTACGATAACGATACATTTCAAAGGTAAACAGTAGCGACAAAATATTGCATTAAAGATTCTGGTGAATGTTAATAGTGAATGATGAAATTTTTAAATTTGTTCACAAATCTTATAATCAGAGCAGGTATTGAGTACGAATATGAACTAAAATCAAGCAAGTTTTACCTATCGACAATAACTTTCAAGCATCTCGCTACGCTATCAGTCCACGCTTGCGTAAGTGGATCTATTGTTGACTTGAAAGCGAGCAATTCGGCACGCTCCAAACTAATACTGTTCTCTTCAATAAACCCTAAAATGTTGGCAAAATGAATGGTGATCAATCAACCAAATAAGATAACATTACGTACTGCTGATTTTATTGTTACCAGCAATGTGAACTGCAATAATACTAATAATGATAATGACAATAGCAATGAAAACCAAAATGATCACTATAAGCAACACGATTATCATTAGTGACATCCTCATTATGATTATAACCATTACTGTTTTCAGTAATACTATTTTCGTTATCAGTACTACTATTAGAATCATTATATAAACGATCAACAAACCAGCATAATTGTTTTTGTAAAGAAGGTAAGTCTCCTTGACATGCTGGTATTTTGCAGCCAATTTTCGCATCCAATCAATTCCACCTCGACTCAGTGATTGAGTGGTATTGGCGTTATTCGAATGAGCATTTGCAAGTAAAATCGCAGTTGTAGAAGAGGATGAAAGTATATTATTATTTGTTGTTGTATTACTGCTGCTTATCATTGCACCACTGTTACTAGTGCTTGTCGTTGATAGTGATTCCGAACCATTTTGTGCGTAGTGCATCATATCATTCACAACACAATCATCAACACTTACATCCTCGATATTCACATGATCACATTCCTAAGAAATCATATTATCATGAATAACATTTTATAAAAAAGAAACACTGATTATGAATGAATGAACTCACATCGTTATGATCAATGCCAAATGCAGATGCAATAAGTCGTTCAATATTTGCATTAATCATATTCGCGAATCGTTGGCCGCGCATTGCATCACCAGAACGTAAACAAACATTCGATAAGACGCAAACGTCCTCCATTTCCCAAATAAAAACACGAGTGTAACGGTCATCTGGACTTGAACTACCACCATGGCTGTTCACCAGCTTCTTCTTCTTTGCTCCTTTCGCTAAAACTTTACTTCCATCAGCAATCTGATCAATCTTCATTCAAATATTCCCATCAAGAAGATCATTTGCTCTTATGATAACATTAAAACCGCTGTCATCATGTGTTCATCGGATGCGCGTTCTAATTAATGATTTTCTCGTCCCAGTTAAAGAACAGTTGGAATAGAGGAGAATAGCTTCGAAACGCTCGGGTGAGAGGATAGAACAGAACTCCTTTAGAAATGAACAGATTAGAACGGAAATAGCACTAGTTCTAATCCAGTCTGTATGCGAATGATTTGCTCATGGTTGACTGATTAAAAAATGAATATGAACCGAGCGAGCTTGGTAACGATTTCACTATTTGATGAATGACATTGAATGAGTGCATATTAGAGGTTATTTTCACACTCTAAAAATCAACGAAATTGGTACACTTTCGGTTTCGAGCAAATTTTTTTTGGTGAGGGGGACAATGCTTTTGCTCAAAGCCGAATGTTGTTGCAATGTTAATGATGTTTTCGAGGCCATTATCCGGCTTATATCTAGCTTTCTATTGACTGTAATCATCATCATGAATTCAACTCAAAGCAGTGCTCGACATTCATCACTGCGACATCGAATGCGAGTGCATTAATTTCAGTAAGTTGGTGAGTGAATTAATCTGAAATGAACCTGATTTTTTTATATCACTTTTCGATGAAGTAAACACTGGAAGTTGGTTGTTTGGCCCAACATCGGTAGGCAAAGAGCTCATTGCCTATAACCACAGTTAATGATCATATTGATAACAATAATTCTGATAATAATAGTATCAAAGTCGATTTTAGGAACAAGAGAAATCACGATAATGCTAGAAAGAAAACTAATAATGATAATAATAATGATAATGATAATAATAATAATAATAATAAATAATGATAATAATAGTAATAATAATAATAATAATAATAATAATAATAATAATAATAATAATAATATTAATAATAATNAATTTTTCTCGGTGAGGGGGACAATGCTTTTGCTCGAAGCCGAATGTTGTTGCAATGTTAATGATGTTTTCGAG